TTTATTTTATGTTGTGCTATTTAAAAGCATGGGATTTCTTAGGTCCTTAGGAGATTTCACGTTACTGGGAATAGTGGGTGCATTAGTGGAAGATGCACAAGGTACAAGAGGTACAAGGCCCCCGCTGTCTTGCTCAGTAGAGAAAGCTGATTCACCACAGCACTCCAAGGTCTATATGTGCAGTAAATGTACCATTTATGAGCTATATTCTGAGGTTTTGTCACTTCCTGCGTGCTTTTACACTTGCTGTAGTCGGCGCAGGTGTGTTGTAGCAAAGCTAAACAGAAGTGTCTCTTCCAGGCTCGATGAGTTACCATTGTTGATTAACTGATAACTTGGGGCTGGATGCTTCCACAGAAGTGCACCACGAAATTTAGCCGGCTGATTTATTGTTTAATTTTTCTTGTACAGGGAAAACTTTTCAGGAATCATAAACCTGTAGCTGCCTGATCAGTGTTGACTAGAATATCTGAACTTAATAAGCACATATCATATGCATGTGTATAAGACAAAGCTCCTTTTTAATATTTGTTATATTTATACTATGTGCGACTGTAATTATTTTTATTTTATTTTTCTAATTACATTCAAGCACTGATCATTATCCACTAGTGTTTTACCTCTTTTGTATTTAATTATATGGCTTCCTGGTGGCAGCCAGTGTGCCCACTTGGGAGTATAGTATATGGTGGCACCTTTCTATGTACCGTAATAGAATTTTGTGTATTTGTAGAGAGCTGGACAAGTGGATGTTTTTATTTTTATTAACTGATTTGCATTGCCCTCATATTTATATAATTATTAAAATTGCTTGTAACAACACTTGTACAGGATGTGTTTGACTGCAGTGCTTATTTATTTCACAATATAGTAACCCCTTTTTTAACTAGTGGTAGAGAAATGGCTTAGAATCTCAAGAATCTTAGAGATATCAGAGCCAAACTTCACAGTGTTCCTTTAAGTTTATCCTTCCACCATCCCATAATATACTGTGGAAAGAAACCACAACAACATTCTCTACTTCATGTTTCGAGCATCAAAAGTCACAGTTACATTAGTGTTTTCATTGGCAGCGCTTTACTATTGTTAGAGTCATTGAGATAACCATCGAAAGCATGGCATGACTTATTTCTAGATGAAAATAGAAGCGGTGCAATTCATCTTCTAAAATACAACTCTATAAACAAAGTCTGTTTTGGAGATTTTTCAGGAAGCAAGACACAACTTTGCAATGTGCGCAATTACTTTCACCTCCACTAACAATAATGGGAAGTCTCTGTAACTTTAAATCTCACAAACAAAGTTGTGGCAATATTTCCATCACTAAATTTCCCTCTCTCTACAGCAGGAAACCTCACTTGCTTTTTTTTTTTTTTTTAACTGCTCCTTTTATATTAAGCCCATACTTTAGAGGCAACAGAGCAGAATTTAGATTTACATCAAATGCTATTTACATTGCAGGGCTGTGAGTTTAAGACTTAAAAAAACCCCCACTTTTATTCAAACATGGAAACTCTGTTCATAAGGGCCCAGATTCTATTCTTAAGTAAATATTACAACCCAAATTCGGCTAATTGGGGTATGCATTATTTGCAACAAATGTGTGAACTAAGCCCTTTTGTTCTTTTGTGTCAGTGGAGCCTTTACCCTCTTTAGTAGACACAGAAATGTATCATGCAAGTGCATAAAAAGGCATCAAATAAGATATCTGAAATTTAATATTTTTTAGAAATGAGGAAATGGTGATTGAGGAAAGAAGGAAGCAACCTATTTACTGCAACACTGACACATCTTGGAGGAAAACCAAAGACAGCAGCTGGGAATCTGCCTACAAATGAATGTTAACTGTGTTACTCTGCCTGCAGGGATCCCACCTGCCAGGGATCAAACTGAGGTCACTCTTCACCAATCTAATTACATACTTATATAACAATAACAGTTCTCTCAAAACAAAACAGAATAGTCCAACAGTTTGCCTGTATCAGCCCTATGACTGACATGATGTGGGGAAGTGAAACGTGTGATTATAGAATACCAGTCTATTCACTAACTTCCTTGTGATCATGCATCCGTTGCACATTAAGAGCATGACCAAGACACACGAGCTTTGTTTCCACACAGCTTTTAAGCCCTTTGTCTCTTCGAATCAGTGATAACTTGAAGATGGCCTTCGGTCTAGTATTCTGTGTTTAGCTAAAATCTTATTACATATCTCTAATTACCATGATGTGCACCCATATGTTATCTGCAGGTCATATGAAAATCTCAGTCCACAGATAAGTGCTTGCTTAATGGGAGAGCTGTTTATTCCATTTTGGTGCTTTTTAGTAATATGTCACATAGACACGAGCCTTTTTCGTTTACAGAAAATCTTATTAGTATGAAATATAAGAGAGACTGTTTAGAGATTAGACGATTAGTATGGACATCACCCTGAGGAAAAGCATCTGGTATCTGGTGGTAACACATCACGATGACCGCGTTGTTTAATTTGTTTATTTGGATTGTACAACAATTTAGGGCTTTACTGCCATTTGTTTAAAACACAACAAAGAGAAGATCAAAGAACCCTGCATAGTGCTTTTCGGTTGATAAAGAGACCAGTCCAGTGGTTTTGTGTCGGCAAATTTTAGGAATATGCTGAAACAGTGGACATTTAACATGCAGAAGGCTCTTCAGTAGGTAGGACAGAACTGAATATACAGTCCCGATCAGAAGTTTAAGACAACTTGAAAAATGGCAAAAAGTCATATTTTGCATGATTGGATCTTAACAAGGTTCCAAGTAGAGCTTCAACATGCAAAAAGAAGGAATCGGAGTGAGACAAAACTTTTTTTTGAGCATGCATTTTATGCAAACAATGCTTAAGGCCCAACAGCGGCTGCACTTCCTGAGGGTCCTCAGGAAGTACAAGCTGAACTCCAACCTGCTGCTGATCTTCTACCACTCATCCATTGAGAGCCTGCTAACTTACTGCATCATGGTATGGTACGGCAGCTGCATTAAGGCGGATAGAGCGAGGCTTCAGAGTGTAGTCAAGACAGCACAAAAGATCATCGGCTGCCCTCTCCCCTCCCTGATGGATATTTATTTCTCCCGCTGTTTCAGCAGAGCAGCAAACATCATCAAGGACAGTTCCCACCCTGGTTTCAACATGTTCAGCCTGCTTCCCTCAAGGAAGCGCTACAGCAGAAAAACCCACAGACTCAAAAACAGTTTCTTCCCAAAGAATATAACCACCCTGAACTCACACATGCACCGGTAACCCCCTACCCCTCATTTTCCCCCCATTTCCTCTATGGACCACCACTGTGCAATACCAAATTCTATGTGCACTAACCCAATTGAATATACATAACACTATTTGTTACATATTATTTTTTAACACTGGCATGTACATTTTAAGTATTTTTTCTCTGTTAATAGTGACAATGTGTATATGGTGCTGCAGAACATCAACAGAGATTTAAGGCTTATTTCGTACCAAAATACCGTGAGTTGGGATAGAACAAATCTGCATTTTACAATACTCTCTGACTTGTTGGATTTTACCTGTTTTACCTGACTATTAAGTAACATAACATTTAATCTGACATCTTTGTGTAAAATTGCTTTTATCCACCAAATGGAAACCTACTACGCAAAGATAACCATCTGTTCAGGCGATGTTGATTACCCTAATGATATATTGCCATAATGCCCAGTGAAAATGCACTTCTAAAGAAACTGGCAGCTTTATTCACTGCAATAATTATCTTACGGGAAATATTACGAAGTGCCGTAAATGGATTCTTTTGTCTCTGCACTTCAGTGGTGTAAGGAACTCTCTTCCCAACAATACTAATGGGACGTGTTTCCATATTATATTCCTCAGAGATATTGCTCCATATTGACATGATAGCATCACACAGTTGTTGCAGATTTGTTGGCTATGATGCAAATCTCCTGTTCCACCACATCACAAAGATGCTTTATTGCAGGGGTGTCCAACTCCAGTCATCGAGAGCTACTGCCCTGCAGCTTTTAGATGCATCCATACTCCAACACAGCTGAATCAAATGGTTGAATTACCTCTTCAGCATGCCATGAAATTTGGCAAAGGGCTGGTAACAAGCCATTCATTTGATTTAGGTGTGTCGGAACAAGGACGCATCTAAAAGCTGCAGGACAGTAGCTCTCGAGGACTGGAGTTGGACACTCCTGCTCTGTTGGATTGACATCTGGTGACTATAGAGCTCATTTGAGCACACTGATCTCATTTTCATGTTCAAGAAACTAATTTGAGATGATTTTAATTTTATGACATGACAAGTTATCGTACTGGAAGCAGCAATCTTAAGCTGGGAAAATTGCAGTCATAAAGGCGTGGACATGGTCAACAATGAAATTCCGGTAGGCTGTGATGGATCGCAGCAGATGGCCGCCCCTCCCTGAGCCTGGTTCTGCCGGAGCTTTCTTCCTGTTAAAAGGGAGTTTTGCCTTCCTATTGTCGCCAAAGTGTTTGCTCATAGGGGGTCATTTGATTGTTGGGTTTTTCTCTGTATCTATTATTGTAGAGTCTACCTTACAATATAAAGTGCCTTGAGGCGACTGTTGTTGTGATTTGGAGCTATATAAATAAAATTGAATTGAATTGAGTTGAACCGTGTAACTTTTTTCCAGTCTTCTGTGGTATAGTTTACAAAATGTAACTTCAGTTTGCCTGTTCGGAGAAGTCTCAGTCGGTGTGGTCTAGCCCATCTGCTTCAAGTTTTGATGCGTTGTGCCTTCAGAGATGCTCTTCTGCATACACTATTTTGTATAAGAAGTGTTGACTTGAGTTAACTTTGCTTTTCTAACAGCTCAAAGCAGTCAATACGTTCTTATCCTTTCACATCTGGCATCAAAAAAGCATTTTTGCCTGGAAAACTGTAGTTCACTGGATATTTTTTTCTTTTTCAGAGCATTCTCTGTAAACCCTAGACATGGTTGTGTGGGAAAATCCCAGCAGATCAGCAGTTTCTGAAATATATCAAAACAGCGCATCTGGCACCAACAACCATGCCACATTTAAAGTTACTTGAAAGACCCTTTTTCCTCATTCTGATGCTTACTTTGAACTTCAGCAGATTGACTGGACCATTAAATTGCCGAGATGTCACTGGCTGCGTTAAGAACCAGAATTAGCTATCTAGTGAGTATATACATCAGGTCAGAAAATATTTAACATGTAAACATGAACTATGTCAAGCCACAACTGTTTAGTTTTGTAAGTACTTACTAAGAGGCGTACATGGGACAAAAAGTGCCTGGTTTTATTCAAATCCATATCACGGAAAACTGCGTAACAGACACACACCCGTCTGCCTTGTCCATTTCACGGTTTGCCTCTCGAAAGCGTGAAATCGAAACACATGCAGAAGTTACAGTACATGCAGAACCTGCAGTACCAGCATGAGGAGATAACATATTTAAAGCCTTTTGCGCCCTTTTTGTTTGTCCCCTGCAGCCACTTTTTTCTCTCTTTCTTTCAGTCCCTTTTCTTTTTCTGTTTCTCCACCACCTTCTCCTGTTTTTTCACCAAAAACAGGCCTTCAACCCTGTGTCTGCTCTGGTATAATATCCACTCTGACAATAATGTGAATAATGTAATAAACAAAAGAAACATGATTAACAAGATGAGCCTAGAGTCTACAGTATACTTTGGATATTAGTATGGCTTGTTGGCTGTTACTAGTGCATCTTTGAATAAGGTGCAAACCAGACCGACAGACAGGGAGCATTCAGACTGAATGTGAAATGAGAGAAGTGAGGTTTTTTGCCATGCCTTCTTTTTTTTTGGTGACATCACTTTAATTACAGTTTCCTTTAGGAGCGTGAGGCAGAGACAGGCAGACTAGAGTGGGGGAGTTAACTGTTAACAGTGCAGCAGGACATCTGAACATAGGAAAATGACTCTTAGACCTACAAGGTATGTATGAATCAAATATACTCTATATATTTTTAAATCTTTCATGTGAGATATAACCAAAAAAAATCCCCTAAGAATGGAGAACAATTTTCCAATTGTTTTATTTTTTAGAATCATTTTGTCAGTAACCATGTGCTCAAGCAGGTTAAATATACTCTGATGTGTGTAAAGCAGGTAATACAACTACTGATAGCTGACAGCTGCTGTTAAAATGAACTTCTTGCCTTTGTTGTTACAGCTAGTGAGACTTTAAAAAATAAATGTCTTTTTGGGTGTAATGTAGAGAATAGAAGTATAGAGTTACATATTGACGATGACCAGAAGAAGCATCTTTTTCTCTTTATTTTGTTATTCATTTATTCTTTTTTGTTGTACATTAAAACATCAGTTGTACTACATGATATGAGAGCTCAGGTTTTGCCTAAGCATGTTCTTCTAAAGACGAGTTTAATCCATGTCAAACATTTGGTTATTTTAACCAACAGAAGCTTCTGCCCTCCATTGTGCCGTCTGCCACATTGCTGCCAACTGCTCCTTACACCAACAGAAACAAACTTTGGAGCAACTTTCAGTGATCTTAATTGCTCTTAAACATTCACACACGTGGATGTAAGCATAGGGTACATACAGTATGGTTTGAAAGAACAGATTGCCAATTAGGTAACATGATAGGGGAATTAAGCAGAAGCATAAACAACATTATGCTATGCCTGATGCTCATTAGTGGAACAAGGTGGTTCAGTCTCAGACAAGCTTATATAATTTTTGAGTGCTGCAGATGTGCAAACACCCTTATTGTTCAACAATGTCTTTATGTTTTAAGCTTATCCTTTGGTTCAATACAAAGGTCATAGCTGCAAAGTAGCTTGCTCCACAACCAGAAATGTATTCATCACGTTTATTACAGGCTTTCATGTTCAGCTCTGTTCTTGTTGAAACAAGAGGCTAAGTCAGTGGGTGGAGATTTCTTCAGCAATCAACTAGTTGGAAAACTGAACCTGGTCAACAGAGAAAGAATGACAAACAGCACACAATGGATGTACAGTTAGGACATCTGTTCATTAATATGCTTATTTACTTCTTTTCTTAGAATAAGATAAGAAGAATGACATCAGTTTCATATCTGTATGGTAAATATTGTATGTAGCAGGGCAACTGTTGGGTTTGCAGAGACGATAGCCAGCTAAGTGCTGGCTAAAGCTCCATATTTATCGCATTGGTATTTTACATAAACTCAAGGTAAGAACCTAATGTACTGTTGATGTTTAACTGCCTATTTACTTCATGTCTCATTTTGTCTTTACAGCATCCCAGACTACAGCACCACTATATCATATGGAAACAATAACAACACCAATGAGACTCATTGTCCAGATCACGAACTATGGGAGTGGCTCACTGCACACCAACCAGTGTATATTCTGCTCATCACCGTGCTGGGGATTATGCTTAACATGTTCGTTCTGACTGTCTTCTGCTTCCACAAGAAGGCGTGCACCATAGCTGAAATCTATTTGAGCAACCTGGCTGCTGCTGACCTAGTCCTGGTGTCCTGTTTGCCCTTCTGGGCCGTTAACATGCTCAATGATTTTAAATGGCCTTTTGGTCATTTCATGTGCAAAGTTATCAATGTGGGAATTAAGATGAATGCCTACTGCAGCATATACTTTCTTGTTCTGGTTAGCATCGATCGCTATGTGGCACTGGTACATGCGATGTCACATGGCAGAATGCGTAGTCCAAAATATGCTAAACTAGGGTGTCTGCTGACATGGGGTTTTGGCTTGCTTCTGAGTATACCCGTGTTCATCTTCAGGGAAGTGAGATATTTCCCTGAATATGGTACTGTGTGCTATCTAAACTATCCAAACCACAACGTACAAGTTATCTGTGATGGGATATTGATCATTTTTAGCTTTGTTATTCCCATTTCAATTATCTCCTTTTGCACTTTTAATATTATTCACGCTTTGAAATTGCAAGCAATTGAGAGGTTCAATGCTGAAAACACAGAACGAAAGGCCACCATTTTGGTCCTGGCAGTCCTTGTAGCCTTCCTAATTTGCTGGGTGCCATTCCATGTAATCACCATAGTAGATGTGCTTTTACGAGGTGGGATACTGGAAGGCTGTCACTTTGAAAATGCTGTGGACATCAGCATCCAGATCTTCACCTACTTAGCCTTCTTGAACAGCATTCTTAACCCGATCCTATACGTTATTGTAGGAAAGAACTTCCGGAAAAAAGTCAGAGAACTCTTCCAGCAGTGGGGCCACCAGAGGAAAACCTTATCTGACTCCACACGTTCAAACCTGTCCTCCACATTGAAAACTTCTGTATAAAATGCTGTATGCAAATTGCTTTTTGCAAACAAAAGCACAGAAGGATAGTGGGCAGTCATTTAATGATATTGTCTTAAACTAAATGGTTCAAATGAAATCTAAAATCAAATGAAGTTCGTGAAATCGCAGTGGATGTAGCTTTGTAATAATCAGACTTAATCATACATTGTTAAGAAACCTTTTAACGAACTCTTTCTTTAGTATGTTAGCTGATGCACAACGTCTCACTGTTACGTTTAGAAAAGGTGGTTGTATTACAGATTACTACCAAATGCAAAACACTGTTGTTTAGCTTGAACTGGAAAAAAATGAAGACATATTTTATATATTGCAACAACTCACCAGTGTGTGATATTGTTGGATTCATATATTACAAACTGTAGTAGTCATCAGTATCTTGGCTGTCCTGGTTCTGTGATGTAAATATGTGTACTGTAAAATAATTTATGTAAATACAACTTTTTTGTTATATAGTTTATTGCTGAAGATGCAAATGATGCTACTATTTGTTTCACTCAGAGCATAACGATGAATAAAATCAACATGTGGTCTTTCGCTTTATGAATCTTTATGATGCATTTGAATGTTAAGTTGAACATCCAAAGGTTCATGTTGAAACAGCGTCTTGCTAAGTGTTTCTGGTGTTTCTGACTCAGAGTTTCCAGACTTAAACATGTGACTCTTTCAACAAGTTTCCAGTTGTGACGCACAAACATGCTTCTTTTTGTTGGCTGTATAGACATAACTTTTTCTTTTTTTTATTGTATATCTGTCCCCCAAACCACCTTTTAATTGCCAAGTGTTTACTCAAAATGGGTTGTGGGCAAGGGTACACCCATAGGTGTCCTCAAAATGAAGGCAAATCTTGCCAAGCAGGATATCAGGCTTCACCACAATTGCTAGTGCTGAAAATTGTTGTGGAACAAAAGGCATGCAGAAAAAGTTACCGCAAATTGTAGAATGTCTGCCAGAAAACACACAGTTCAACCTCGTTTTATGTGTTTTTGTCTGCTTTTTAAAATGGTTTTAATTTTGTGATTTTTAGTCTTGTCCTTCAAATCTGAAATGTATGTCACTCCCACATTCATGTTCAAAGTTCATGTTATTCTGGTTTATGTTGTGCTACTAAATGGGAATATTAATTAAATTTTTGACTATTCTGTAAACACCACAGTGGGGGGTGACAGTCACTGAAGAGGTTTTAGTGCAGATGCCTCATTCATGTTTCCATAAGAGTTCACAGACTGTTTAATAAACATGGACACAGTCAGTATGACTTCACCCTGTTAGTGAAGTTCTGTTATGACACCTGAAAGTGAACACTTTCAACACCGTTTTCTTGGTGATTTGAAACCATGCATCATAAACACTGGTTAAAGACTTGTGTCTGTCATGGTGCTAGGTCGTTGACCCAGCATTTTGTATTTTATGATTATTTTTCTATGTTCTAGTTATTCTGATTTTGGTATTCTGTGTCCTCCCCTTGTGCCCTGTTCTTGTTCTGGATTTCCTGTTTTATTTTGAAGGTCTGTGTGTGTTGTCATTGTGTTCAGCTTTTATCCTCCAGTCGTCTTCGTGTATTAGGATCAGCTGTTCTTCCCTCCTGTGTGTGATTACCTGATTACCTTGTGTGTGTATATATAGTGGGTGTCGGTCTGTGCTCGTTGTTGGTTTGTCTGCGGTCCATGGTGTTCTGTTCCTTAGTCTGCGGCTCGCTGCCCCGCACCCGTTTTCGTATGATCTCAGGTTTGCTATTTAGTTTTGCCAGTTTAGGTGTCTTCAGTTATTTGTCATCCCTCATTACCTGTTTTGCCACTCTGCCACTTGTAAATAAACGTCACTCGTATCATCAGTCACTGCCTGCATTTTGGGTCCTTTTTCCTTCAACGCCACACGGCTCGCCTCGGCAGCCGTGACAGTATCAGTGAGCAACTCTACTGACTCTACTAAGGACTCCCTTTTTTTTAATTCACTTTGACAGAAAACTGAGGGGAAAACATTTATTGAGGTCACACAGCAATGATGCTAACTGGAATTACAATGCAGCTAAGGGTGTTGCCCCCTGCTTTCCGATAAAAAGAATGCAATCATATTTGGCTCAACTTTCAAATCACAAAGCTCATTTTGGCTTTTAAGTGACAGTGTGTAAAATCTCATCAGTAGATGCCAGTAGATTGCAGATTGTAGTCAAATGAATTCAATTTCCTTAACCCTTCCAAGTAACATACATAATCCTAGAAGTGGTGGTCATTGTAGGACAAACATGTTTTAGTCAGGCAAGAGAAACATTAAATTTAGACTGTGCACCTGAGCAACCATGGCTGCTTGAAGTGTTTCTAACACTGTTTATGTAAAAAGCATTGTTGTACCCACTATATTTTACCATATTTGAATAATATCAGCACGTAGCAATGAATCAGGAATAATACTGCATGACTCAATTAAATATTTTGTGGTATTTTGCATTTTTACCACAGAGTGATCACAGAGACTAGCTGCTGTTCATTTGTGGTAAGTGTAGTAAGATAGCAACATGACTCCTGCTTCTGCCCCAGTCTTTCGCTGTTTTGTTAGGCTGTCAGTCTACTCTTAACTTAGCTATCAATATGTAGCTTTAAGAAATGTAAAACTTTGAGACTGATATGAGTCACTGACTCAGAGAAATTAACCTCTCTCTCTGATGAGCGAATATTGAGGTGGGTTGTTTAGGACATTACTGTTGGCTGCTGTTAGCCTCTGTTAGCCATGGCTAACTGCTTTTAGATGACATAAGTGAAACTTTCATTAAACTGGATATAACATTGTTGGACTTTGATACTTAGTTAATAAACTCTCATATGATGTAAAATATAGTCAAGCTATTTAGCAGAAGTAAAGTATGATTTTTAGGACGCTCAAGCCTAACATTAACTGGCATAATGTTAGCTTATAACCAGTGACTGCGCTGGTCAGCACGTTGTCACCTATATGGAGACATCTAATCTGCTGACAATAATTAACTGTGAAAATATTGGGAATAAATAAATATTACTATGTGTGTTTTTTAAGTGTTGTAGCTCTAACTTCAGTTCAGGAGATAAGGCTCAAGGTGAAGTGGATGACATTTCATTAAGATGCAAGTGGCTTTGGCTTTTATTCTTAATTGATGAATGCTTAGTACAAGAGAATGTTTCAGTTTGGTGGTAGATGTAATTACACACTAATCATTGTATATTTATACAATATTCTTTTTATTTTACTAAATAATCCCACAAAAATGACTGACTGTACTTTTAACATGGAACATATTTTTGTGGCGTTCCTTTTGCAACACTAGAAATGCTCATTACTGAATTGGTTGCTAAGACGGTCTACTTTGAAGATGGCATGTGTGTAGTGTGTGTTTTGGCTGATAAAGCATCCATTAGCCACACTCCATTAAATCAATTATCCCCTCTCCCTAAGAACTGAAATCATGGGACAAAGGTAATGACACGTGCATCAAACCGCCGCTGATACACTAAAAGGTTAGACTAGAGTATATATTTGTTGTGAACATGCATTTTTTTTTCTTTTCTACTTTTTGAATCACTGTCACCATCCAACAGCTTTACCAGTTGGCTCAGACCCTCCAGCTGAGTTACTTATGGAGAACAACACAACAGCTGAGTTTGTCTGCAACCACACGGATGCATGGGAGTGGGTTTACACCATGCAGCCTGCCTATATGTCGATCATCTGTCTTCTGGGAGTAATCGGCAACTCCTTCGTGCTTTGCGTCCTCTGTCTTCAGAAGCGGAGAAGTTCTGTTGCTGACATTTACCTGAGCAATCTGGCAGCAGCTGATCTCCTCATGGTTTCCTGTCTGCCGTTCTGGGTATCAACTATAATCAACAAGTTCCACTGGAGATTTGGGGAGTTCATGTGCCAGCTTGTCAATATTGTCATTGGGATGAATTACTATTGTAGTGTGTTGTTCCTTACTGTTGTGAGTATGGACAGATATATGGCTCTCACTAAACCATTGTCCCAAGGAAGGCAGAGGCAGGCTTTCTGGGCACATGGAATTTGTGTAACCATTTGGATTGTTGGTATCTTCCTCAGTTTTCCTGCTGTTCTTTTCCGCTCTGTGCAGTTCTTCCCCCATCTGGGCATTGATGCATGCTACCTAGACTACCCCCATGAAGGGTGGCGATTGCGGTACAACATAACTGTGAACATAGTCTGCTTTCTCATTCCTGTCCCAATTGCATTGTTCTGTAGTTACCACATTATTAAAGTCATTCTAAAGAGACAGAAGATGAGAAGAAGCAACAGCGGGAGTGCGGAGAGGAAGGCAGCGTACCTTGTGCTTATTGTTTTGGCTGTGTTCATTCTCTGCTGGCTGCCTTACCAGATTCTGATCTTCTTTGACACCTTGGATCACTATGAGGTCATCTCTGGATGCACGTGGGCATACGTGCTGGACATTGGCAACCAGCTAGCTACGTACCTTGGCTACAGCAACAGTGCATTGAATCCTTTCTTGTATGTGATTGTTGGGAAGAACTTTAGGGAGCAGGCAAGGGAAGTGTTTAAACCCCTTCAATGCAGGAGGAAAGACCAGTGTGAGGCATCTGGTCATGGTAATGCCAATCTCATCTCAAGTAAACAAACAGAGAGCACAAAAATCTAAATGAATTTACATATAAAGAGTAAACTCTTTTTAAAAATATTTGTGTCTGAATTGAATTTCATGTATTAATATATTTTATGTTGTTGGATTAGGGTCTAATAAGAGGGCCTGCCCTGGCCTTTGAAGCTTAGCTTTACTTTTTAATTTTTGTTTTTAAATTAGTGTTTCATTTTCCAATCAATTAAAGCTTCTCTTGTGTGTCTTACACCCACACAAATGACGGTAAACTCAGAAGGTTAAAAGTTACTTGTGTTACGGTAATCCTTTGCATGCTAAAAGCAAAAAATAAATCTCTACGACAACATCTGTAAAACAAATTCAAGCATGTCGAAAACGGATCTTTTCACATTCTTGGCATGTTTGTCCACAACCACTTGTTTCTAGACAGTATGAATTTCTCTTAGCAGCGAGCTAAAACAAGTCCTTCTAGCATGTACCCCTATTACAAGCTTAGTTTGGTTCTTATTCTTGGGAGGACCGATGTGCAACCTGTAATTTAGGAACCTTTTTTGAACTGTAACCAGCTTAGTAAAACTTTAATAAAGTTGTTCTTGAACTGCACTGAATCAGTCATCTTTACGTTTTTATTGGTCAAACCCTTGATTAAAGCAGAAGATAACTTTTGAGGTTATAAAGAGGGCTGACACCTTGTAAGAGAATGTGATATGGGGGCAACTGGCTGAACTTTTTCTCTCAGGAACTAAACAAACCAAAAGTTACCCCAGTGAGAAGCATGAATTACAGGAAAGGCTGTGACATGGTAATGGTTGCATCTATGTTATTTCCAAAGTATACACCCTCCCTGTGACAACTCCAAACTACAATATTTTATATATGTTTTAACATTCTAAACTGAACAAACAAGTAAAAACAACTTTAACAGAGGATGTTAGAGATGATGAGAAGTTTAATAATTGTTGTGCAGAGACAGACGAAATCTTTCCCACTATTTCTAAATAGTGGGAAACCAAATATCACTAATTTCTAAAATGTTGAAACTGAGGGAAACAGTTGACTAATGTTTGCCATAATTCTGTATTGTTTAAAGAGAGGCAGGGTGGCTAGATTAAAAAAAAAAAAAGCCTAATTCTGGAAGCAAACTGGTGTTTATCCATTTTGTCTATAAAAACACTGGGCTTTGCTTTTTTGAACGGTCCCATGTGTTAAATTTGGCATTTACAAGTAATCAAAGTCACAAATGTAGGACAGATATATAAAACTGACTAAGCAAGGAATGTTTGGCAAAGAGCTGATCTTCATCTTCATTTTGGTATGCTGCTGTCATTTTTACCATAAAAGGGATTACACAATCTCGGACATACTGATTATTAGATAACCCTTCATCTAAGTCTTCCAAGTTACAAAAGAAAAATACTGATTATAGTTTACATTAACTCCAGTGTGATTTGAAGTTGGTTTAATATTTGTTATTGTTGTCATTACCATAACTTTAAATTTAGAACATATCAGAACTGGATGATGTACAAGCTGAGGATAAAACTGATAAATCTGTTTTTATAGCATTTGGAAATCATTACCGGTCTAAAGATTTCACTGTTTATACAGTTAATACAATCACAAATGAAAAAAGATGAAAAAAACTAAAGGTTTTATTAATGATATCTCAACATCATAGCAAACAGAGAGGTCCAGACAGTATAAACAGGGAGTAATGCTGTAATTTCCTGAATCAGTCATATCTTTACAGGACTGTTCGTAAGCTTTGAGCTACTCCGTCATTTCTTTATATTTTGCTTCCAAGGAGCAAGACTTTCTTGGAATTAAAAAAAAAAAATCTCTGACCTCCCCTGTATCATTTATGAAGAGATATGACACCTCAATATTTATCAATAAATATGTGGATTGGCACCTGTTTAGCTTAGTGGGTGAGCAGACGGCCATATGCCGTATGGCCGGCCCTTGGCTGCATGTCTTGCCCCCTCTCTTCCCTGTGTCTCCTATTTCTTGTTGAATAGTTTTCTTTATCCAATAGCAGCCTTGGGAAGCCATATAGACAGATAACCCTCACTAACTTCTGATGTACACCTGGTCATTTTGCTTTGAAATATGACAGGAACCACATAGTGCAGGGAATAGAGTACCCAGTGAGGTACAGCTGATTACACAATAACTGAACTGAAGCAGTGTGGGATCATGCTGACAAACAACAAAAAAATTAACATCCCAAGAAGAGCGTTGAGTGTCTTTCAACAAGACTAGAGAACTATTCCTGCAGACTAGTTAAAGAAATTACAAGTAAGCTCGTCTGAAAGATTTCAGGCTGTGTTAAAGATTATAAGTGGTCATACCAAATAAAAGACATTCAAGTTCATTACAATTGTACAACAAAGCTTTTTATTTAAATACTGTTATTTGATTAATGCTTGCACAGTGAATCAGTGCACTTCCAATTTTCCTAGAAGATGGAAAATTACAAGGAGTGGCTCGACCCTTTTCCACAAGTACATTTTTCCATAGACCATGACGAAAGATGTTAGGTAAACGTTGTGTATCTACTGAGTTTTTTGTGCTTTTTTGGGTTAGTCTGTTAGTGTTTATTACCTTCAGCCTGTTTTTGTTTTTTGTTTTTTTAGTTATAGTTTAGATTTTCACATTTGTATCTTTCTGCTTAGTTTGTTCTTAATTCTGGCCATTTTGAGCTTTATATGCTAGCTTATTTCTCTTCATGATTTTATTCTCAGTCCGTCTCCTTTTTGTCATTTACAACCAAAGCTAATTCCCTGAGTTTGTTTTTGCTGCCCTCCTGTGTTCTCTGTGTCAAATCTGCATTCCTGTTTCCTGTTTATAGCATAACTAAAGTTGGTTCGGTTGACTAAACAATTAAGTGTAAAAGTTGGTTGTGCTGTTACTGGTGAGAGCTGCTCTACATGATTTTAAAAGTGTCTCATTTTCCTTGATATCAAATGCAAAATGTGTCTCTATGTCTACTGTTGCCTTCCTCCCCAGTGTTGATAATTTGTAGTGTTTTCATGAGAAATAGAGAGCATGGGAGCTAACTAAACCCCACCTACCATAGTTCCAGGTGGCAGATCAAGCGTGTGCATCTAACCTTATTGCCCAAGGAGATTACTTCTGATTGGATCACTCACCATCTTGCCCCCCCTTTCCCCACTACTTAATTAGTTCTGATTGGATCTCGTCTCTCCAGAACATATTTATGACAGTTTTAATCCCCATGCATTATTTTTATTTAGTTATTGTCTTGTTTTCATCAGACAAAAAAATGTTCTTTGGTAAAAACTGTGATGAAAATTATTGATAAATAACATTAAGACTGGTCCTGCACTGTTTCTCTAGGTGTGGGCCTCCTTTGTTTTGTATTATAGTGTGAGTGCAGGATTAAAGCAGTTTTTTCTTATTTATTTCTGTCTTTTGTGTTCAGCATTTTGGTCCAAATCCAACAGTATCATGACATAAATAATTGTTAAAGTTTAAATAAAATCCTGCTTTCTTTGGTATATGTCATTAGTTTCTAACTATCTGTGATAATAATAGTAGTATTTTCACACACTATGAACTGGAATGTCCAAAGTCTGCATTTTCTCTCCAAGACATGCTACATTACGCCACCATACTCCACTGCAGTTTTAGCTGCTGCTCATAAATGAGCACCGTCCAAATTTTGACTCTTTGATAAACAACTTGATATATTCAACTAGTGGTGTGGAAGAATGCAACTATATACAAAACGCCCATAGCAGCCTCGTTGTGTACTTTACCAGGAGCCCGTGAGCACAGTTAAGCCCATCTCAGACGTGTTATCTGTTATTACAACTTTGACCATCGGAGTAACATTTTGGTGAAACATACGGTAAGAACTTTTTTTATTCCTTTTCAGTATTTGATGCTTAAAAGAAAAACAAAATAAAATGTGGCAATCAGTCTTTTCAAAGTAGTCATCCACTGATTAAATTAGAAGAAAAGATGCAATACACAACACAGAAGATCTACCTGTGATTTTTTTTCCAGGCTCTTGAGTGTTTTTTAACACAGAAAAATAATCATCTTCCTTTTCTGGGGCTGTTTGCTTCCTCCCCAGAGCTGAACTTTCTTAACTGGATAAAAGAAAGTCATAAAATTAGCCACCCATTGATATAAGCTGTTTTATGTTCAGTTCCTTGTTTAGCTTCAAATTTGAATTCCTACATAGCACATTTCTTTAATGATGGATTTTAAATGGTTAGCTTTAATCTTTAATGATAACATTGTACTGAAGGTTTATGAATATTTATTTTTTCCTACTCAGTGGAGCCAATGGAACTCACAACTGTGCCGACAGTGTTGGCTGAAAATAGCAGCTTGTCTCCAGTCACTGCAGAATGGGAGCTTATCCACACCATCATCCCCCCATACATCTTCACCATATCCCTGGCAGGTCTACTCTTTAACAGCTTTGTGCTGGTGGTGTTTTTTGCCCACAAAGATCGACTGACTGTAGCAGAGATCTATCTGAGCAACATGGCGCTGGCTGACTTTATTCTACTGTGTAGCCTTCCTTTCTGGGCAATGAATATCCTCAATGAGTTCAACTGGCCATATGGAGAGGCCTTGTGCAAAATCGTCAACGCCCTAATCATCATCAATTTCTACACCAGCATCTTCACTCTGGTCATGATTAGCATCGATCGCTATATAGCATTTGTGAAGCCCATGAAGGCCAGCTGGCTGAGACGGACGCTCTACGCCAAGGTGATCTGCTTCATCCTGTGGATATTAGGGGTCTTACTGAGCACACCGACAATAGCTCACAGAAAGGTGAAGTTCTTTGAGGACTATGAGACCACATCCTGCGTTCTGGATTACACCCATGACAGCTATTGGAAGCTGGCCCATCAGATTGTGATAAATGTGGTGGGCTTTGTTCTTCCTGTTTTGGTCATTGTTTTCAGCAGTGGAAATATAATCAAGGTTTTATCTGAGAGGAGGGAAAGTGTTGGTTTTCATCACACCAGTGATAAAAAGGCCACTGTGCTAGTGTATGCTGTTACACTGGTATTTTTACTATGCTGGGGTCCCTTCCAGGTAATTACCTTTCTTGACATTCTCTGTGGTGTCAATGTGCTGGATGAGAAGCTGTGGTCTGACTCTCTGGATATAGGAGGGCAGCTCTCAGCATATCTAGCCTTTCTCAACAGTGTCTTAAACCCTTTGTTGTATGTCTTCTCAGGGCAGTACTTTAGAAAGAAGGTTAGCGCCATCTACAGAAAGACTAGATATCAACGCAGAGGATCAGACATGACCACATATCAACTCTCTGCTGTGTCCACTTACATCAACAGAACAGAGCAAATTAAACCTGTGGTCATTGTTAATGCCAAAGAATAAAATGTGTCTCATACTGATGGCATCTACTTTTCTTTTGCTGCTTATGTATAAAATGACCAAAAAAAAAGGATATGTTTCTAAAACTATTATGTCATTAGACTTAACACAATAATAATGCTGTTATGTGGCTAATCGGCACTATCAGATGATGTTTATTGCTGTGCATGAGGAAATAATGTAAGTAATGGACAGACACTGCAGGAGAAATAGACTGAAATGCATTTACAGTCTGCATAATGACATTTTTGTCTTGCATTGTGGACAAACAGCATCTGTTTCTTTGACATGTTATATGGATTTATAGCAACAGACTTCTCAGTTTAACTTTGTTTGTCTTTTACGTCTTTAAATTTAAATATTTTGACATATTAGTCAGTATTTATTTTTTCATTGTAAACCAAATATTTATATCTTATGGCTTTTCATGTCCATTTTATCTAAATCAAATAACAATCCAAGCAATGTCAGACCCTTTTTATTTAGACCAATGTACTGCTTTATTCATGCCATTTCCTTTGCCTGCTACGCCTTCCTGGAAGATTCTTGGAAAAAACAGTTTACTGTTAGGAGGAAAACCTTTTTTTCCTCACTCATGTTGTTAAAGAAACTGTGGATAATGCTCAGATAGTTTATGTGTTTCCATATGTTGTTAACACATTATAAGTAACCGACTTTAGCAGACTCCCAAACAGCCTGCCTCACAATTTTCATTTCACCGGTACATGATGCTACTTGCTTCTGGGTGTTAATTCTGTCAACTCATTAAACTTTTAAGCTAAGAGGAAATACTGTGGGTGGGGCTAAATGTTGCTGTAGCTTTCTTGCCTTCACCTAACATTAGACCTTCCCAAAATAAAAAAAAATAATTAGCACCCACCACAGTGCACAACTGCCCCATGACTATTTTTCCAGTGCAGTTAAATGTTCTAATGAAATACTCAAGTGGCTTTATTTTTTAAATGGTGCTATCTAGCAAACAATGTATGGTATTGTATTTGTTATGTAATCTGATGTGCAGTGTGACAGTTTATCTGAAAGTGGCCTAGTCCATCTCTCTGTCCAGCTGAAGACAGGACTGTCACAGATGTTGCATTATGCATTTTGGGTGTTCAGTAATTTTCACTCTCAGAGCTGATGTTACATATGGCCTGTATTTGTATAGCGCTTTTACTAGTCCCACCTAGGGACCCCAAAGCGCTTTACACACCCAGTCATCCACCCATTCACACACTGGTGGAGGCAAGCTACAGTTGTAGCCACAGCTGCCCTGGGGCAGACATAAGTATTTAAAATCAGTTAATTATGTTTACTCAGTCAAACTATTTATTGGTGTTATTTGGTTATTTAGGCAACTGTATTCATTTAGATATAATGGTTTGTCTCATTATGTAATGCCTATCAGGTTATCACAATAATTATCAGAATATGTACATACCTGTTCCTATTTTTGTTGCTTTTTACATTCTGTATATGACTGAAAATAAATATAATAGAACTATAAGTCACCAAAAACCAGTACACTACTTTTTCTTAGCTATTTCTGTTTTGATTTGGTTTAGTCTCTCTGCTTTGAAGACAGTTGCACAATGCAGTGACAGTTATTTAGCATTGCAAGTTTTCAGCCATTCAGTAGGCATGTAGACATGTCAGAGCAGGAAAAGATCTGGCAAAGCAGAACATTGTTCTTCTCAGGTATTTCAGTCTGTGGAAAAACAGAAGACGTGTGCTCATTTTTTTTACCTACTACCACAAGGGCCACGTGTTCCAGCGGACAACATAACGGCCTCCTCCTGACTCCAACCTTATTGTGAAAAACATGTTAGTAAATCAGCATGCACAAAACCAGAACCCAGAAGCATCTAAATGGACTTCAGTCAGTTTTTTGTTTTGTCTCTGTACTTGTGTGTTTTTCTCTTGTGATGTCAATGTGACATCTGTGAATAAATTCTAGTTTTCCTGGTTGTCTGGCTAAAGCATTCTTTAAGCATATGGTCATAGAAACAGTTGAGCTGCGATACAAAGTGTCACAAATTTTTGGGACATTTGTCAGATCTTCACATTTTATATTATTCAGAATTAATTTGGCAAAGCCTATGCTGGTATATTCACAATCCAAATTATGCTAGGGTATCCTGTAATTGAGTTTTAGGATATTTTAGAAGTTAGAAGTTTGGCTGCTAAATACTCAAATATTGACTCTATCTCCACTTTTCTGCTGTTTGGTTTCGGGCTTGTGCAGCATGCACTGAGTCTATAGTGCTAAGAAAATGTTGCTTTGCGAGAAGCCGCTGTGGGACAGCCTTATAACAACTGTGAAATACAATTAAAAGATCCTTAAGATCCATCCTTTAAAAAAATAGAAAGAAAAAAAAAACAATACCTGGTGCTTCTCACTCAGCATGTGCTCCTTCGTCTTCTGTTACTGTCAGCAGTGACTATCGTATCTTTCGAGCTATGTTCTTCTGGTCTTTGTCAGGACCTGTTCTGAGTCTCCGCGCTCTTATTAAACTCCTCCACTTATAGAAAGAGAGAGAGAGAGCATGCATTTGAGAGAGACAGACAGAGAGAGAGAGTTAACAAACATTACCATTATTCTGGTCCCACATGATGCTTGTAAATGCACGAGACCACATTTAGTAAGTTGTCAGGAGCACCTGACCTAATGCTCTGATCTCTACAGACTTACAAACTGAATTTAAAAAGTACACACACACACACAGTTAAGTAAATTTAGTGCAATGATACACATAATGCTACTGAACGAGGAAAAGTAGAGGATTGGCTGAATGAATGGAGGAGGGGGTGGCAAAACATCGAGTCATCTCATATCATCAAAGACATCTGACATCACTTTAATGTCAGTTTATTTTCTCCTTCAAGTGAGCAAGTGGGGCAGAGTCAGAAAACAACTGCAACTGGAGTTACTGGGAGGGTGTAGCTGGCTAGATTGATGTGTTCTTTTTTCCATCTAGAGAACAGACTCTTTTCCCTAAAAGGTATGCATGAGCCTTATTTGGCTTGGTTTATACTTGCCTATGTTTTTCTCTGTGGTTAAAATATTTATCAACAGCACAGCTTTGGAAACATGATGTCTGACAGTGTAAACATGTCACGATATAGACTGGAGATCATTAACTGGAATTGTCTCTGCATGTTTAGTGTTATAGTCATTATCTTAAGCCAAATGCACTAAGAAGATTTACGCTGAAACAAACTCCAAACACATGTAAAAAGGAGGGTTTGTATTTTGTCATGTTTTTTGTTTTAATCTTTATGCATTTAGAATTAATTTAGGAAGAATGTGGCTGCAACTGATGGTGAGGATATGCAGAAAATGAGGTTGCTATAAATATCAGTGACTCAGGTCAGTCCTGATAAACAGTAATCAGTTATTAGAAACGTAGATGTGCTTGTATTGTACTGTTGGAACTTTAAGTAACTGATAATGGAAAGGGCTCTGCATGTAAAATAGAAAGGCATTCTCTTTTTTGTCATTACGTGTTTATAAGCAAAGAAAAAGACGCACAAATAAGTACTTAATAGAGGTAGACTGGTATTATCAGTTGGAATAATAGCCAAAATTATAGCTATAATAGCTATAATAACATAATATAATAGCTGGTTATTTTTCTTAATAGAAAAACATTATTACAGATGTTTCTCTGGGAAGAAGGAAAAATTCAAAAATATCTTGTTGCAATGGTTGTGGCACCCATGGTTTGATGATAGATTAAGCAAAAGCACCTCATCAAAATTCAACTAACACACAAGAACGCTTGTTATTCAAAACAATTATTAATCTCTTAATTTTGCAGATACACTTTTGGTTAATTGGTGACTTTAAATAGGCTGTGATTTTAAATGTGACTGTAAGTGTGAATTAATGGTCTCTCTCAGCCACAGTTTTTGTGTTTTTGAGTCAAATTCTTTGCAAAATAAATGAAAATGTAGCAGCAGTATTTTGCATTATCCATCAGTGTTACTCATAATTATGTGTATCTCTGTACTGTGTGCCATCAAAATAACATAATGTTCTCACATCAAACTGTTTTTAGAATAATATTTTATATTTTATTTGCTGTCCTCTGTTTTTCTGCAGCATCCGTTCCAACTCTTACTCTGTCAAGATGTCTGGAAACCAAAGCAACACAAGTGAAAACCATTGTATTGTTGACAACAACAGCTTGATCTTCACTCTGGTTCCACCCTACATCCTGGTCATCAGTGTGCTTGGAATAATCTTTAATGTGTTTGTGCTGATGGTTTTCTGCCTCCACAAGAAGGCCTGCACTGTGGCTGAGATATACCTCAGCAACTTGGCTGGAGCTGACCTTGCTCTGGTGTGCTGGTTGCCCTTCTGGGCTGAATATACAAGAAAGGGATTTGACTGGCCTTTCAGTGAAAGCCTGTGCAAAGTGACATCAGCTGTTATCTACATGAATGCGTTCTGCAGTATTTACTTCCTTGTTCTGGTTAGCATAGATCGTTATGTGGCACTGGTGCACCCACTTTCCCATGAGAGGATACGCCGGCCGTTTTATGCCAAACTAGGATGTCTGTTTGTGTGGGGTCTTGGCTTGGTCTTTGCTCTCCCCATATTCATCTACAGGAAGTTAAAATTCAACCCTCAGTCAAATCTTACTCAATGTTCACTTGACTTACCACAAAATCAATATCTGGCATCTGAAGTGATAACCATAATTTTCAGCTTCATCATCCCTATTATCATTATTTCCTTCTGCACTGTCAGAATTTTTCAGTCACTGAATAACAGGCTAATGGAGGGTTTAAGCTCTAAGAAAATGGAGCAGAAGGCTACCACTCTCATCCTGGCAGTTCTCCTGGCATTCCTGATCTGCTGGGTGCCATTCCACGTGACAAAGATACTAGATGTGCTCCAAAACACTGGCATTCTGAAATGTCACATCACACTGACCATCGTCCAACAGATCTCTACGTACTTTGCCTTCTTCAACAGTGTCCTTAACCCCATTCTCTACGTCATTGCTGGAAATAACTTCAGAAGAAGAGCTAAGGAACTCTCCAAGCAGTGGAACAATAAGACTACAGAAACATTCAGCCTCATGTCAACTCGCATAACGACTCTGAGGCTGACAAAGTCTCAAGCTACTCTCTGATCTTTTGAGTTTTGATGTGTGCTTTGGTTATTTTAAATTAACTGGGTGATTATTCACCCAAGCATGAGAAAAAAAATTTTTTAGGCAATCTGAATATATAGAGTTTATTTAACATTGTTTATTACACCGTATCTCCAGAAAGTAGTAGTAAGGTTTGAGTGCCTTGAGGGGTGCTGCTATTTTTTCCCTAATTCTATGCACATACAATACCAGGAATTTGGTGGATATCCATATTAAAGAAGCATATTTGAAAGTAACGCACAGTCTCTTGAGCATTTAGAGTCTTGGTTCTGCATAATGTCAGTGAGAGTGATATCCTTGATATTATCATCTCAGGTATACAGCTCTGGCTGTGAGCACAGCAGTCCCAACCACCTACTATTTAAGTCATGCTCAGAATAAAGTTGGCTTAGAGAGAAGAAGCTGCAACAGCAAGAATGAACTAAGAGGCTTCACTAAAAGCCAAGATAAATAAGGATTAACTAGGACTGTTAATCAGGCAAAGTTAGAAGACGCACACACACAGACGCACACACACACACACACACACACACACACACACACACACACACACAAATACAATCCACATCTCTTGTTTTACATCAAAAGTTCAAGCAACAAGGGTGGGGTTGCTTTCAAAGCCAAGGATCCGGTATAGCTTTGGTATAACAGGATCTGAGACGCGAATCTGAATCTGCCATTCTACTGCTTTATTTCTTTTATTCAGTTATATTTTATTAGATATGCTTTCAGATCTAATGCAATAATAACACTGCTACATAATTGAATAGCATTACCACATTTATTCTCTATTACATAAGTAATGGACACAAGCTAATATAATGGAACGACTATACAAAGGAGATGAAAGAAGGTTAACAGCGTTAAAAGCATTAACACAAGATTTTAATGGTTAGATGTTCCACACTGTACATGTGAGTGGTTGTGTATTAATATGTCTCTGTGCTGCAACATTATGCGGTTTTAATGCTACCGATTGGAATACTTTAGTGATGAACTGTAAACCACTAAACCTGTTGTGCTGCGCAGTATTACTTACTGTTGTGTATTACATTGTAAAGAATTCCTTTCCTACTCCTGTGACTCCAAAAAGACATTTAACCTACCAATACTGAAGAACTACCTGCACACTGTATTAATCTTTGCATGTATGTAACAGTATATGAAAAACAGCGAATTGTATGCCTCGTACTCAAACTTCGCTTTTAGTGGCAGCTTCTGTGTATGTATTGTGAAACATTTATACAGTGAACTTGTGATATATCACCTTGCTAGATCAGTGTAAATACAAAAACTCAATAATCCTCATTTACTGGCATCTTCTGTAGTCCGCTGTGGTAAATAAATGTCTACACACCAGGGAACTTTAAGTTTTAAATCAAAAATAATGTTTTAAATTAAACGCACATCCCCTTTTAAGTTACACTATGTGAGTTATTAGATATTTTATACTTTGGATTAGTTGGTGATTTCAGCTTGGCAGTTGTGAGGAATGTGGGTCTTAATGTAAATCTGTGTTGGCCCAGTCCAGTGTGGATTCCCCGTATGACAGCTGGGATAGACTCCAGTCCTCATATGTCCCAGAACTAGATGAATGGTTAAAAGAATAGATGGATGGCTATGGTTCTCAGCACCTCTGATAAGCCTTTATTTGGTAAGCTGTGATTGATTAAACTACAAAGGATTAACAAACTCCAGGCGTACCTGTCCACTCAGTGGCAGGCTTTGAACTGTCAACAGGCAGCTGTTACAATGTAAACAGCAGGCAGATCTCTGTCAGTATCGGCTTTATCTCATGGACATATTGGCACATCCCAGTAAACTTAACAGAATACACTGAACCACACGGGGACTATTGAAATAACATGATATAAATATTAATTTTCTTAAAAGTTCTGTCCATGTAAATGTTACTTTTTTGGGGATTAAACATGAACATAAAATAATGGTTTCATTTGAGAGAAAATTGCATGCGTCAAAGTGGAGTATTTTCTGTTTGTTTAGTGTAAATGTCTTCATATCGCTATGATACAGAATAAAGGAAGTGATTTCGGGTTGAGCTCTAATACTCTATTAATCTATTAATCTCTATTAATCTAATACTATTTTCCTTCTGTCACTGGAGTCTCCCTTTCCAGCCAGCTTCTCCTGCTGCAACTGTGTCCTACAAAAACCCATTCATTCCCGTTTTCTCTCCCCCTTTATATAGATGGGCTCAAATCATCACCAATCAACCACTCCGTGCAGTAATCTCCAAATAGCTGACTGCTTGACTAGAGGGGAATCTCCACTCCCACATAGGTATGGCCTATAGCTCACCCGAAAACACAAAATTATGCAATAATTGAAATGGAAAATAATGCCAACCCAATGTTTAGTGAGAGATTCTCTCAATTATTCCACCAACTGATAACAATAGTATTTGCATTCTGAGCTTAATCAAACAGTTCAAACGCCTTTTCAGATGTTATGTTCACAGAAGGCCTGAGTCTATAAAGGTCCATAAAACAATACCTGAACCAACATCATAAAAATGAACCATGCAAAGAGACAAAGTGCTACTTGAAGTGGAAAAAACAAAGACTGCATTGACTGAAAAGCAGAAGATCTGGCTAAAGAGTGAGTCATTATATATTAGTTTAAATTCAGTTTACTTTCTCTTTTAAGTAAGAAAAACACAGCTATTTAGTAGGAATTCGTTTGGCCTTTTTTTCCACCTGGAGAACAGATTCTTTTGCCTGCAAGCCAAACTTAATTTTGGTTGTTTTTTAATCCTTCATGTTTCTGCCTTTCTGCTCTGCAAAGGGGATTAACAAGTCAACAGTAACAGGGTTTTCAGCTTTTTGCCATTACTTGTTCAAAACTTTAAAAACACCCTTCAATTAACTTACACGCTGTGCAAATTAAGAAACTTGCACAGCGCGATGGGTGTGGCCCTGTCAGCTGCTGGTCACGCCTAGGTTCTCACACACCTACTTCTGACCAAGCTCGTCGGGGCAGCTACTTAACAGAGCGATGGAGCTTTCTCCAGCGCAGGATTTGTTAGTCCAGGAAGTACAGATCGTGTTTGCCCGCAGGGGTCAGTGTCTAACGGCTGCTTCCATTGTTTTCCCTGCAGGAGGAGCGTGGAGAAGAAGGACAGCACAGCACGCACAGGGTGTGCAGAGTCACCGGGGAGCACGAACACGGACGCCACTGGAAGACGCACGGGAGTCTTGGGGAGCGCGGGGATTAAATTGGCATCAGTGTTTACCACACTGTAAATAAACGCACTGTACACACAGACCTCTGCCCCTGGGTCCTCCTTTCCCTCACAACCCCAGACCATGACAATAATGTGCATAAAAGCACTCATCTGAGGTTTGTTTTTAAATGCTTGATATCTATTGAAGCCAGTATTACATATTGAATCAAACTCTGGCATTAATCTAAGACACTAAGACATTTCGGTGTTCGGACCGGTCTGAGGAAAGACGAGAAACGCTTTTAAAGCTGAAGCGCTGCGGTCGGGATTTAATGAGGTGCAGTGCCAGTTTTTCGATGGAAGGTGTGGTCACAGCAGGTATTTTGGTGGCTTACCTTATTGGTGAAGTATTTGTAGGAGTGTTTTCTTTACGGGTTAAAAAAAAAAAACTTTCGGAGGAGAATATTTAAAAGAAGCATGCAAACCTGATTTGCTAGATTTCCTGGACACTAAATGTAACTTTGAAAAAAAAACACCTCTTACTGTTGATTATGGAGCTGAAGTGTTCATTTATTTGGAATAAGATGAGGAAATATTATCAGCGTGCGTAACTGTGACGGATGGATCCCTCTAAGCTGTGAGCGCGGGGACAAAACTTTTGCTCTGTTCTGTAAGTCTCCACGGAATCCCAACCTTGCGTTTTTAGAGGTGGGTACTTCCTGCTCTTAAGTAGTAATACTAGAATTTTATTAAAAACCGGCTCTGCGTTTTTTTTCTCAGCACCACACAGGGATTTTTATGTTGTTGTTTTTTGTTTGTTTTTTTCTGGCTATGAGAGACAAGCATATCATATTTATAACTGTAGCTGTGATGTCATTATGTTAGCGCGTCGGGTTACTGTCTGAATAATATGGGTAATTTAGGCTATAATAGGTTTCTGCAACCTCACAGCTCGTAGAATAAGCAGTGGAATAATATGGACTACAATACACTACAATAATATGCTCACGTTCAGATGATGGAGTAGTTTGGAATAAACTCACCGCTGGATAAATCTGTGCTGCACCTGAGTCTTAGTCCTCAGAATCTCACAAGTTTCTAAGAAGAGTTCATCCTTAGACAAAACCATATTTCTTCTTCTTGCTCTCATTTACCTTAACTGCTAGACTGTTTTCATAGAGAAACAGGTTTAAAACCTGCACTTACACTGTAATATTTCTTTCAGGACTTCATTGACACCTCTACTTTAACTCATCGGGCGTGCTCGTTTTTGAGTCTCTGCTCTTGGTAGGTAATTACTGAAATTAACTGATAACATCTTTGTATATAAATTAAGGCACTGTTATGGGAGATCACCCCAACAACCTTTCACTCACATGGGTACATTTTTTCAACTGTACCATCATCATGTCACTTGCCCCTGTGGATTTTAGTCTTAAAGTCGACACTGTTCCTTTTTTAGTAAACCCCCACAGTAGCTTTTAATGCCAAAAGACGGTTTTATACCGGTGTAGATTAAATCTACCCCTAAATATAACGATGACAGCTTTGACCACTCACTTTGTCTTTATTAACTTCCATGCATGGAATACTTTAAGTGTGGATATTTTTTTTCCTCTTTTGAAAGAAAAAAGGAAAAGAAAAATAATTGTGAAAGTTAGCCTACAATAATGTTTTATCTGTACTCTGTTCTGTATTTTTCTGCAGTATCCCTGTCAACCTCATCTCTGTAACGATGTCTGGAAACCAAAACAATACAAATTGTACTAATCTTGAGCCAAATAGTTTGATCTTCACTCTGGGTTCATACTACATCCTGGCCATCAGTGTGCTTGGAATCATCTTTAATGCGTTTGTGCTGATGGTTTTCTGCTTCCACAAGAAAGCCTGCACAGTAGCTGAGATCTACTTGAGCAACTTGGCTGGAGCTGACTTTGTTCTGGTGTGCTGTTTGCCCTTCTGGGCTGACTATGTAGGAAAGGGCTTTAATTGGGCTTTCAGTGAGAGCCTGTGCAAAGTGATACCTGCCATAATAAAAATGAATGCACTCTGCAGCATTTACTTCCTTGTTCTGGTTAGCATAGATCGCTATGTGGGGCTGGTGCACCCACTGTCCCATCACATCATGTGTAGGACATTTTATGCCAAGCTGGCATGTGTAGTTGTGTGGATTCTTGGCGTTATCTTTGCACTCCCCGTATTAATCTACAGGAAGTTAATCCCCAGTACATCAAATATTACCGCATGTGGCATTCTCTTCACTGAAGACCAACATCTAGTATATGAGGCAATAACCATAATCTTCAGCTTCGTAATCCCTGTTTCCATTATTTCCCTCTGCGCTCTCAAGATTATTCAAGCACTGAGAAACAGGCTAAAGGGGCATGGGAAGGAGCAGAAAGCCACCACTCTCATCCTGGTAGTTCTTCTGGCATTCCAAATTTGTTGGGGTCCATTCCAGTTGAGCAGGATACTAGATGTGCTTGAACGTGTTGGTATTGTGAGGTGTCACACCATACTTGACATCTACAAACAAATTACTGTGTACTTAGCTTTTTTCAACAGTGTCCTTAACCCCATTCTCTATGTTGTCATTGGGAGAAACTTCCAGAAAAGAGCAAAGGAATTCTTAATGCCGCAGAAATATAAGAAAACAAGAAGATCAAGCACACGCTCCTCATGAGCACACCCCACAAGTGTTAAATCTGACAATGGCTTAAGATAAGCAGGATTGTGACCTTTTGAGTTTTGAGGTGTGCTGCTGTGATTGGTGATTTTATACAATGACAATTATTTATCCAGGCATAAGAACTTTTTTTCTTTTTTCTCTTTTTTTGGCATTTATGTAATGTGAATATATGGGGTTTAATTGTCTATGAAACATTGCTTCTTCAAAAAGTGATATACAGGCATAACATATTTGTTACTTAAATGTGATATATATATTTCTGTTTTATAGTGATTTTTGTTCCAATACAATATGAATAACATTTACACTGGCGGATGCTCATATTAAATAAGAACAAAAATATAATATAACAACACAAAATCATATGAAGGACTTGAACAAGGCCAAGTATAAGAGCAGAGAGATGGTAGTGAACTGGTTTTGAATAGGGCAAAAGTTACACATGTTAATGCAGTTTTTCTTGCAGGTACCACATTATGTGTTTTTCTTATTTTCTGTCATGTATTTATATTCTTACAGTGGTGGATGCTCATGTTAAACTTAATGTTATCAGTTATCACAGATTACATAGTTTACATTAAACATGATTCATATCTTGAAGTCAGAATATATGCAAGTCTTTTCTAATGTTTATCCATTTTTTCAAATTTCAGTTCAGGATTATTATGTTGAAGCTATTTATTGACATCCTCCAAATATTCAGTTCGGAGTACCGCTGCTGTACAAGGTGAATGACCTGGTGTATCTCTCTCTCTCTCTCTCTCTCTCTCTCTCTATATATATATATATATATATATATATATATGGATGGATGTTTATTTGTCACGGTTCAGGGTCATTTGACCCAGCATTTTCAGTTTCGCATATTTTTCTGTATTATGGTTTGTATTCTGATTCTCTTGTTATGCTTTGTTGATTATTATTATAATTCTATGTTTCAGTTTATTCTGGTTTAGAGTTTTGTTCTTAGGTTTTGTGTCTTGTGCCCTCATGTTTAGTGGAGGTTTAGTTCAATGTCAAGTCTGTGTCTTTGTGAATTGTTTCTTGTTTCCTGTTTTACTTTGAAGGTCCATGTCTTATGTAAGTGTATTCAGTGCTTCCTCCCGTCTCGTCAGGCTCATCAGGTCCAGCTGTGTTCCCCACCTATATGTAATCTCCCTGTTTTCTTCAGTGTGTATTTAAGTTGTGTCAACTCATGTACTCACTGGTTGGCCTGTGTATAAACCATGTGTTCTCCCTGCTGTCCTTCTTTCATGTTCAGGTTTGCTGTTTAGTTTTCCCCATTATAGATTATCTTTAGTTCACCATTTTCACCTTGTGTTTTCTTTTGCAATAAACCTCTTTCGCATCTCAGCGAGTGCCTGCTCTTGTGTCCTCATTTATTCCCCCACACGACTCACCCTGGTTAGCTGTGACAGTATTATTATTATTATCAACAGTAGTTAGTTGTACTAATAAAAATACAAACCGGATTCCAAAAAAGTTGGGACACTAAACAAATTGTGAATAAAAACTGAATGCAATGATGTGGAGATGGCAAATGTCAATATTTTATTCAGAATAGAACGTAGATGACAGATCAAAAGTTTAATCTGAGATCATTTCAAAGGAAAAATATGTTGATTCAAAATTACACGGTGTCAACAAATCCCAAAAAAGTTGGGACAAGTAGCAATGAGAGGCTGGAAAAAGTACATTTGAGCATAACGAAGAGCTGGAAGAACAATTAACACTAATTAGGTTAATTGGCAACATGATTGGGTATAAAAAGAGCTTCTCAGAGTGGCAGTGTCTCTCAGAAGCCAAGATGGGTAGAGGATTACCAATTCCCACAATGCTGCGCAGAAAGATAGTGGAGCAATAAAGGTGTCACCCAGCGAAAGATTGCACAGACTTTGCAGTTATCATCATTAACTGTGTATAACATCATCCGAAGATTCAGAGAATCTGGAACAATCTCTGTGCGTAAGGCTCAAGGGCGTAAACCCATACTGGATGCCCGTGATCTCCGGGCCCTTAAATGACACTGCACCACAAACAGGAATGCTACTGTAAAGGAAATCACAGAATGGGCTCAGGAATACTTCCAGAAACCATTGTCAGTGAACACAATCCACCGTGCCATCCGCCGTTGCCAGCTGAAACTCTACAGTGCAAAGAAGAAGCCATTTCTAAGCAAGATCCACAAGATCAGGCGTTTTCACTGGGCCAGGGATCATTTAAAATGGAGTGTGGCAAAATAGAAGACTGTTCTGTGGTCAGACGAGTCACGATTCGAAGTTCTTTTTGGAAATGTGGGACGCCATGTCATCCGGACCAAAGAGGACAAGAACAACCCAAGTTGTTATCAACGCTCAGTTCAGAAGCCTGCATCTCTGATGGTATGGGGTTGCATGAGTGCGTGTGGCATGGGCAGCTTGCATGTCTGGAAAGGCACCATCTATGCAGAAAAATATATTCAGGTTCTAGAACAACATATGCTCAAATCCAGACGTCATCTCTTTCAGGGAAGACCCTGCATTTTTCAACAAGATAATGCCAGACCACATTCTGCATCAATCACAACATCATGGCTGCGTAGGAGAAGGATCTGGGTACTGAAATGGCCAGTCTGCAGTCCAGATCTTTCACCTATAGAGAACATTTGGCGCATCATAAAGAGGAAGGTGCGACAGAGAAGGCCCAAGACGATTGAACAGTTAAAGGCCTGTATTAGACAAGAATGGGAGAGCATTCCTATTTCTAAACTTGAGGTCTCCTCTGTCCCCAGATGTCTATTGAGTGTTGTAAGAAGTGGAGATGCCACACAGTGGTGAAAATGGCCTTGTCCCAACTTTTTTGGGATTTGTTGACACCATGACATTTTGAATCACCATATTTTTCCCTTAAAATTATAAATTTTCTCAGTTTCAACTTTTGTTCCGTGATTTATGTTCTATTCTGAATAAAATATTGACATTTGCCATCTCCACATCGTTGCATTCAATTTTTATTCACAATTTGTTTAGTGTCCCAACTTTTTTGGAATCCGGTTTGTAGTAGTGTTGTAGTTACTATTTATCATTTTATCAATGTATCTATTTTTCTTCATCATTCACAATTCTTGACCCCGGAGGGATCTAAATTAAATGCACTCATACAGCAAATCCCCTCAAGTATGACACATCTCACATTTCCTATTGTTTTTCATCAAATAAGGCAAAGGAAGATGATGTAAGCATTACAGAAAATATAAACACTTACCACATTATTTTTTCATTCTTTATCATAAATCAGCTAAATTATATTGCGTCTCTCTCTCTCTCTCACGCCCTTGTGGTCTCTTCCAAAGAAAAACTTGCCAAAATGTTGGATTCTTGCTTAGTGTATTTACAAGCATCCTCGGCAAATAGGATGTTGTTTTAGTTTTTGGAACGTAGGACTGACAACAGCTGTCAGTCCTATATATAGTAGAAGGATACAGATCCAAATAAAAACATTATGGAGACAGGTTCTGGCCTCTTGAGTGGCTGGTGATAACAAGGCAGGGCAGAACATCCACATCTGGATTGGCACCTTTCAGGTGATTGAGGAGTGAGCTGGTAACAAAAGTTGCAGGATCTCTCTGGGTGCTGGACAGGTGGCCAGAGACAGTATCTTGACAGATGGCTGCTCAGGTCCATGTGGATACACTGAGTCTGATAGCTGGGACTGCACGAGTTTGAGTTCAGAATTTAAACATGATTAACAGGATCGTGATACTCTGGTTCAGCTGTTGTCGGTCCTACGTCCAAAAAGTAACAACAACATCCTATGTGCTGAGGTTGCTTGTAAATACATTAAGCAAGAATCCAACATTTTGGTTTGATGACAGACAGTTTTCTTTGGAAGAGCCCACAAGGGCATGACAAATATTTACGTATTTCTGAAGACATTTCTTTAGAAAAATAGAGGAATTAACTACACAGAGGAAGCGATGACGCAGAGAAGATGCATATTTTGTCTAAAATTATTTTGATATCAGTTTTTTCTTTTAAGTTAAGCAAACAAAGACATTAGTAAGAGGTACTAGAAAAGTGTACCTGATGGTTTTATGTTGTCTTTTTCTAGAGACAGAATCTTTTGCCAGCAAAGTATGCACATGTTTAATTTGGCTTGGTTTTCTTTTTTTTTACTTTTCTGTTTTAACTTTGTTCTGCTCCTTTTGTTTCTGTTTTTCCACATTATTTGTGACTGAATTGCTGAATAATTCTAAAAACATAAAGGGAAAATTCTTCAGTTAACCTGCCAGCTTTACAAGTTTTGAAAACCAGCATCTAAACTGGAGATTATTAATTAAACTATGTATGTTTTGATAAACAGTTTTAGAACATTTATGCTAAAGCAAACACATATAATTAAAACAAAATTTTAAAAAGTTGCATTAGAATACAAGGAGCTGTGAAAATGATGATATGCAGTGTTTGTGCTGTGAATCAGAATCAGAATCAGAATCAGAATCAGAATCAGAATCAGAATCAGAATGGGGTTTATTGCCAGATGTTGAGGTTTACAACATTAGGAAATTGCTGCGGTGCTTCAGTGCAAACAATAGGGGTTGAAGTGCTATGTAGAAAGAAAGATATGTGCATGAGATATACATGAGATATATACATGAGAATAAGAATTATGAGTGCTACGTAGAAAGATATATACATGAGT